GGAAGTGAAGGGAAATCTCCCCAATGGGACACAGATGGCATGAAAAAAAGCCACGGGGTTATAACGCTCCCTTAAATTGGCCACACACCTACAGATTATATGCAGATGTTCTATGGTCTGATGGAAAAAGTGCAACAGATTCCTCCATCTACGCTATACTGTGTGGATGGAGGAATCTCCCACTGGTCCAAGCTTCAGTATCTTGCTAGTCGGCCCCGCTGGCTCTGAAAATACCTGAACAATGTCTGCATCCAATCAGCTTGTTCAGGTATTTGGATAGCCAGCGGGGCCGACTAGCAAGATACTGAAGCTTGGCCCAGTTGTGAGATTCCTCCATCCACAACAGTTTAGTTCCTTGCATAAGGCAGTTCTCGGGCCTGAACGGCAGTTGCAAGGCTCAAATGCTGTCACATGACAGAGTTGCTGACCTCATCAAGGGTTTTTTACGGCAGTTGGAGTAAAAAGCAATGGGTGATTGTAAGTGGTTTACGGGTGGACTTTAAAGAGACTGTCACTGTACATGCACCCACCTGTCTGCATTGTGCTTTTTATATACTGCTTTTTTTATGGATGTAGCTGTGTGACCTTTTGATCATAATTTTGTACGTGGGAAAACATTTTGACTGTATTTTTGTAGGAAACCTGATATTACCTGTCATATCCCTGGTTTCTTCCATGCATTTCTCCTCTAGGAGGTCCATGCCTTCCAGATCCTCTAGATCTTCCAAAAGAGCCAAGCTTCTCTCCCTGTTCAGACAGGTAGTTTGGTTGTCTTTCTTCTGAAGAGCCAAATCCCTCTCCTTGACCAGACAGATGGCCTTGTGGTTTTCCTACTCCTGATGGGCCAAATCTCATTTCTTGACCAGACATCATGTTTGGTGGTCTTCCTCCCGGTGAGCCAAACCTCTCTCCCTGTCCAGACAGGTGGTGGTTTGGTGGTCTTTCTTCTGAAGAGCCAGATCCCTCTTCTTCATCAGTCAGATGGTCTTGTAGTCTTCCTGCTCCTAATGGGCAAGATCTCTTTGCTTGACCAGACAGCTTGTTTTGTAGTCTTCCTCCCGGTTTGCCGAATTCCCCCCCTTGACCAAAGAGTTGGTTTTGTTGTCTTCCTTCTCCCGATGAGCCAAATCCCTTTCCTTGACCAGACCGTTGGTTTTGTTGTCTTTCTCCTCCTGATGAGCCAAATCCCTTTCCTTGACCAGACCGTTGGTTTTGTTGTCTTTCTCCTCCCGATGAGCCAAATCCCTTTCCTTGACCAGACCGCTCCCGGTTTGCCGAATTCCCCCCCTTGACCAAAGAGTTGGTTTTGTTGTCTTCCTTCTCCCGATGAGCCAAATCCCTTTCCTTGACCAGACCGTTGGTTTTGTTGTCTTTCTCCTCCTGATGAGCCAAATCCCTTTCCTTGACCAGACCGCTGGTTTTGTTGTCTTTCTCCTCCCGATGAGCCAAATCCCTTTCCTTGACCAGACCGCTGGTTTTGTTGTCTTTCTCCTCCCGATGAGCCAAATCCCTTTCCTTGACCAGACATCATGTTTTGTAGTATTCCTCCCAGTTTGCCGAGTTTCTCCCCTTGATCAGAGTGTTGGTTTTGTTGTCTTCCTCCTCCCCCCAATGAGCCCAATCCCTTTCCTTGACCAGACAGCATGTTTTGTAGTATTCCTCCCAGTTTGCCGAGTTTCTCCCCTTCACCAGACTGTTGGTTTTGTTGTTGTCTTCCTCCTCCCGATGAGCCAAATCCCTTTCCCTGTCTCCCTCCTCCAAACTTTTGGCCAAGCCCAGTAAGTGTGTTTTGCAAATCTCCTGATGGCAGCCCAAACATCTTGCCAAGTCCTCCAAGCATATTGAGCAGACCATTGCCTGAAGCACCTGTGTTACCATCCATGGAGCCTTGAAGTGATCCAGACTTCTGGACTAGCCCTGAGAGCTCATTCATGAGCTTGGTTGGCGATAAGCCAGACTTCTCGACCAGGTCTGAAAGCTTATTATTCAATAGTTCTGGTGGTATGCCTAGTTTCTGGGCAATGCCTGAGACTAGATTTTGCAGTCCACCAAGAGCAGATCCCATGTTTCTTCCTCCAGACATTTCTTCATCATTTTGCAACATCTGGTCATCTCCTGAGGAACCATAGAAACACTGAGAGACTGTTGTCTTATAAATACATCTAGAATAACTAAAATATATACATTTTATATGGCCAAACTTGTGTGGAGTTGGATGTTGGGTGAGTGAATATTTTGCTTTATTGCACGGCTGGCCAAATTCCAGGAGCCAGGTCACCAATGCGCCTTAAAAATGACAGCTGGCGTGAATCTTTTGAGGTTTTCTCTAGTTGTCAATGGAACCGGCTCCTGGATTAGACAGTGTGGCTCCCTAATTCCATATTAATTCCATATTCATTTGTTCCCCCTGATTTAAAGTAATAATCTGTAAATTTTTATGTAACTTTTGTATTTTTACATATTTATTTTCAGTGTAGTATAACACATTCTCCCTGTAGAGGGTTTCTGACCACTCCTCATTAACATAATCTGTCATTATGTGAACTGTGTTACTTTATTCTGCTTTTACTTGCTTACAATGTATCTTATGATCCTAATCTTACCTTCATCTCTGCTCCCCGCGTTCTGTTGGCCAAAGCGGCGGTTTTCAGCCAAGTGTAGAACCACAGTCAGTATCAAAATGCAGAATATGGTCTTCATCGTAAACTGGTGGCAGGCAGTCGTTCTAGAAGAGCACAAGGTTTAGCTGATGATGCCCAGTTGTCAGTAGCAATATTGATTAAAATTAAAGCCTAACTATCAAGATACTGCCTGGGGGAGTTGCTGCAGAGAGGCTGCCGCTTTCCCCCCACCCCCCC